TCCATCTGGGGGTTGCCAGCATTGCGGTACCGTGTGTGTTCTCTGCTGGCGCGGAGACAAACAGTGACTATTTGCAACACTGGCTGCCTTCAGCAAAGCCCAGCGTGGATCCCGGTCATGAGATCTGTCCTCCAGAGATGCTGTGTTGCTTCTTGGCATCGCTCAACCCCTTCCCTGCCAGCAGAGGGACAAGAGAATGAGACAGGTTCTGGAGAGGGAAAACATGCCGAGGATGGGCGTGCTTTATTAACTTCATCATGTTCTGGTACCATCCTATCACTGAATGCGGCTGTTCTGCATGAGGGGAAAAGAAGAAGGCCGTTTCTGCCTTGGAGAGTTTGTGTCAGCCTTGTGACGGCAGGAGGGTGTGTTCTGCACAGCCTCTCTCCTCCAAATGCGCAGTCAGCGAGACAGAGACTGCTGCTTTGGAAATTATTTAGGGGATGTTCAAGCCAAAACAGGAATAAGACCTTCCCTAATAGTCTGGGACTGAGGTAGTACAGACCTATTGTCTCAATTTTTGCCCTAGCAAGCACACAAATATGCAGCTGGAGCAATGTTTTGCGCCTTAGCCTCTTGGTTTCTGCATATGGAGGTGGTCTTTTGGGTCTGTCTCCCTTTCAGTTTGCCTGCTATGAATCTTGCTGATTGCTCCCAATTTTCTTCCACCAGGGAATTCTCTTGGTGTACGACATCACTAATCGCTGGTCCTTCGATGGGATAGACCGATGGATAAAGGAAATAGATGAGGTAAGTTGAATGGAAGAACACGTGCAGTGGTCTGTAGCAAAAATCTGTGGAGGTGCCACCTCTGGTATGGGGCCAAGAATGGCTCTGCCTGGAGAGGAAACGATGGTGGTCTGCAAAGCAAGAGGGTAAGCGTCTGCCCTCCATGTCTGTATAAATCTGGTGTGGTAGGAAAGGGCTCGGGAATGGCCAAGGAAGATAGGAAGGTTCCCTCTGAGAAGGTTGCCTCTAAAATGGACTGTAGGGGAATAAATTAGTCTTTCTCACCATGTAGTACTGGTCTTGGCAGTCCCTCTCAGTCACAGAGCAGTACCTACTTCTTTGCCCTGCGCTGTTGTCGCAGCTAAGCAGAACACTGGTTGTAGGCTGCCCTTACGAAGGACAAGCCGTGATTTCTCTACTTCTTTCCTTTTTTAAGCACGCCCCAGGTGTCCCTCGGATCCTGGTGGGAAACAGGCTTCACCTCGCCTTCAAGCGGCAGGTGCCAACGGAGCAGGCCCGGGCTTACGCGGAGAAGAACTGCATGACGTTTTTCGAGGTCAGCCCTCTGTGCAACTTCAACGTCATAGAGTCCTTCACGGAGCTGTCCCGTATTGTCCTCATGCGGCACGGCATGGAGAAGATCTGGAGACCCAACAGAGGTCAGTAGTGAGGAAGATGCTCTGCGTGGGGAAGGCGTGAGAGCTGTGTGGGCTGAAACGGAGGGATAGGACTCGCTGCCTAGGTGGGAGGTGTGCTTATTAGTGGGATCTGAAAGCACCTGACGTGGTGGAACGCCTCGGGTCAGACAAGCTGAAGCTGAGCCCCAACAAGCTGCCTGCAGTAGCGCAGGAACCCGGCAGGCAGTGGTGAGGGATGGGCAGCTCCAGAAGGCAGCTCAGCATGTCTAGGATCTGAATTGCTCTGGGGCATCCTACACTTCTCTACTTATTCTGAATGAGGCTGAGGGCAATTAAGTTTACAACTTGAAAGTACTTTAATCAAATGGCTGTGTGGGATGAGTCCAAGCGGCCTTACCCTTGCCTGAGCCTGTGTCTCCTCTTTTGGAGAGCCGTGGAGGCAGAATGAGACCCAGGAACTGAAAGGGCTGTCAGCACGGAGCAGTGGGCTGGGGCATTCCATATATCTGGGCACGTGTGCCGCAGTGTGGCAGGCTGTGAGCAGAGCCTGTGTTGCACCTCGGCCTGTTGCATTTGAAGCAAAATAACCTTAAGCCCCACGTTCCTGGCTGGAGGCAGCAGCGTGCCCCACGGAGCAGCAGGAGATTTGCGCTCCGGGGGTGGCCTGCTTTCACATGGATCCTCAGCTCCTGCTCATGAGGGAGGGAGAATCCAGTTTGCCAGCCCCAGTCACCAAATTATCTGCCATGCCGCTGTCACCAGCTCATTGGAGGGATGGCGAGAAGGAGAGGAGGAACTGGGCTGCGTTCTCAGACTGGGAACAGCAGCGTGGCTTTCGGGGCAAGCTGGAGGTGAAAGCGTGCCCTCGTGTGGCTGCTTGCTGGGACATCCCCTCCAAGCAGACTTCCCAAAGCGGGCTCATGATGTGCACTGAGGACGCTGGGAAGCCTGCAAGGGCAGAGCCGCCTTCTGGCCTGGTGGGATCTCTGTTGCTGCGGGCACTCTGCAGAGAGCTGGCCCCAGGGCTGCTGCTCCTCGCTGAGCAGGTCCTAAGTGAGACCCTGCCCTGGGGCTTGCTGACCCTGTTGCCTCCTTCCCTGGGCATGTCCTTCTGGTTGCCAAACGATGGCCTGAGAAGCCAAGTGTCTGGCAGGAACATGAGCAAGGCACTGCCCGTCCTGGGCGCTGTGCAGAGAGGAGGGGTGGCAACGTCTAAGCCCCATGTTGACACCAAAGCTGGCGTCTCACAGAGCATTACCCTCTGAGGCAGAGCTTACCTGCAGTTTCCCAAGCTTTTGTCCTAACTAATCTGCTCCCTAGTCAAGGCTCCTGTGCAACCATTATTAGCTTCTCTCCCCAAAGGAGCAGGAACTGCAGGCCATAAGGAATAGTTGCAGGGAAAAGGCAGCCCTTGAAATCTCTTGGCCCTTGACTGTCTGGTCTCTTCTCCCACCAGTGTTCAGCTTACAGGACCTGTGCTGCCGAGCCATCGTTTCCTGCACCCCAGTCCACCTCATCGACAAGCTGCCATTGCCTGTCACCATCAAGAGTCACCTGAAATCCTTCTCGATGGCCAACGGGATGAACGCGGTGATGATGCACGGCCGATCGTACTCCTTGGCCAGCAGCGGGGGTGGGAGCAGCAGCAAAGGGAACAGCTTGAAGAGGTCCAAATCAATTCGTCCGCCCCAGAGCCCCCCACAGAACTGCTCGCGCAACAACTGCAAGATCTCTTAGCAGGATGGAGGCGCCGTGAGCTTCTAACGTATCCACACCCACCCACCGATGTACAGCTGTTTGCACACTTAACCCTTTTCGACTGGATCCTTTCGGATGGGCCGCGGTTGCTTTTCTGATGGCACGCACAAGCGTTGGGAATGCGCTCACGTTTTGGCTTCACATAGGAAGCATGGTGCCGGCTGGATCTCGCAGCGCTGGCAGGGAGAGGACTCTGCCAAGTGACCCTCCAAGAATGCTTTGGGCTTTGCCTTTCGGCCTGGGGTGGAAAATTCAGCAGCTGCCGGGTTGGGGAGGGGGGGGGAAGGGGAAAAAGCTCATCCAGTCTCAATGGAGAAATGGATTTAATGGAAGATTGAGAGGCTTAAGGGAGTAGGCAAGGAGAGTCTGTGCTGCAACTTTAACTCTTGGACTCCTGAACAGATTGCTGGTGCAATAGTGATGGTTGGATGTAGGAAAAAAGAAATGGGGGCAGGGGACTAAGGACAGTTTTCACCGGGATGTTAACCTGCTGTTGCCAAAAACAAAGCAAGCAAGGCAAGAGCTGGCCAATTGGAAAGGGGAAGGCAGCAGTCTGCTTGCCTTCTTCATTTATTTATGTAAATATTATATATAAATAATATCACTTGTTTTTTAAGGGTTTTTTTTTAATAAGCAGTCAGGGAAAATTTTATGCAGCCATGTAAATACAAGCACTGGATTAACTTTCCCAGTGTCAGCAAAGGGGGATAAGTGGAGGATTTTCCGATGAAAATACACAAATGCTTTAAGAGACTTTCAATCACCACCTGGGCTTGTGCTGGGTTGTTTTTTAAATACTACATATGCAGAAGGAAAGAACGGTTCGTGTGTAACATACCCCAAGCTGCTTTATTCCGATCATTCCCTAAAACTTGTGAGTGCCGAAGGCAGGGTGGGATGCAAGTGGATCAAGGGGCAGAGCGGAGGGGCCAGGGTCTCGGGGTTTGCTTTCGGCAGGCAGGACGAAGAGGCAGCTCTGAGGTCAGACTGGTGCCTTGCTCGCCTCGCGCCTTCCGACGTGCGGCTGGTCGGGCGCCAATGAGCGGAGGGCGGAAGCGCTGTGCCAAAAGCAGGGGGAAAGTGCTGAATTTGTCCCTTATTGCTGCAAAGCCTCGGCCATCGCTTCCGGAGCCCTCCAGCCACCACACAGCCTGCCGGACCCTGACGCGACACCACCCCGTGCCCCAGCCCCCGGATCTCGGCTGCTTCTTGCTTTGCTTTTCCAAAGACGTTCTGCCTGAGCCAGCGTTGCTGCGGCTCCTCCTGGATGAAAGTGGGGGAAGGACAGAAGCGGCTTTTCCCACTGGAGCGTGAAGGAGCAGGGACTGGGAAGGTGAAAGGTTTGTGTGGGAAAACAGTGATCCCCAGGTCCCGTCGTGGCGAATGCGCTCGGCTTTCACGGCAGGGCCAGGAAATCAGGAAAGCAAACTGCTTTGCTCTGTAGGACCGCTCCTGGATTTGAGAGGGGCACACGTGCTCAGCGGCAAGAGCTCGAGATGCACACGTGCCGTTGGAGAAGGTCCCGTGTCAAGCAAGGGCACGTGCTTCCCTGGCTTCGTCCCGTGGCTGATCTCTGCTGCAAATTCACCTTGAAACTTAGAAATAACACCTCGCCCGTGCTGCAAAAGCGAAGCGGGGCTTGGCGGTGGGACTAAGCTATGTCGACAGATTCTCGGGGGGGGCCAGGACGCGTAGGTTTGTGAGTAGCGTGGTAGAAAGTGAACTGCTTTTCCCTGGGCTGGACGGGTCTCCTCCTCAGCGAGGAGCCCAGCCGGTCCAGTGCTGCCACGTTCCTCCTGGTGCTGGCCGCTCCTCCAGGCCTGGGCTCGCTCTTCTCCCGCCCCGGGCAGCTTGTTGCATCGCACGGGCACGAATGAAGCCGCAGCGGCTGGCGGGCGGGGCGCTTTGTTCAGGCAGCAGGCAGGGGTGCACCCCTCCACGGGCGACATCTCCTTCCCCGTGCTTCTGAGCCGACCTGGGAGGCGACGGAGCCTTCCCCCTCCCCACTCTGTAAAACAAAACACAGCGCAGGGGTAGGGCTCTTGGCTCGTCTCTGGCGTGCTTTATTGCCCAGCTCAAATGAGCGAGGAGAGAATTAAACCCCGGGCAGATGGAGGGGGGAGAAGAATCCTTTGTAGTCGTGGTTTGGCTCAAGAGCAAAGCCGCAGCCGAGCTCGGCGCAGAGGCCGGGGGATTTCGAGAACCTGTCTGGGATGGCCGGCACCTGTTTCTCATCACTTAACAGGCAGCAGAAGACAATCGCTGGCTCAGCAGCCCGGGGATATACGGCCAACAGGTGATGCGCCCCGTGCCGCGCAAGCAACTTCTCCTGGAAAACATCGCCCGGGCGCCGCGGGGCCCTTCGCCGGGCTGCTCCCGGGCACCGGCGCGCGGGGTGGGAGCGGCGAGGGTCTCCCTCCTGAAATCACAAAGCGCGGTTGGTTTTTGGTTTTTTTTTTTTTAATTTGCTTTTCCCGCACCGTATTAAGGTCTCAACGGATCCTGTCCAGAGTGAGGATGAAAGATTTACCTGGAGCCTTTGCTCAGCAAAAAACTTGTTTTGTTTTTTAATTTAAAAAGCAGAGTCCTGCATCTGATGCCAACACTAGTCTGTAGCTGCTCTCCACCACTTGTACCATTCCCCATTTGGTTTTTTGGACTATCCTTTTATTTTTTTTTTTTTATTCCTTTGTACAGTCAATGTTGTTCAACTGATTATACATGGGTTTGTTTTGTATAAATTAAAGTCTTTGTTTTGTTTTGAACTACCCCTTGAAAGGTGGAGAAGTTGCATCCATGTTTGTGTGGGCTGGGAAGAGGTTGAAGGGAAGAGGTGGAGGGTTTTGCCCAAAAGTGGACCTTTGGGACTGCTTGTGGCGGAGGGGCGTGCTGCCGCCTCCTCATCAGCCTCAAAGGGGTCAACCTCGTGCGGCATGGGGGGGGTCCTTGAAGTCCCCATTCCTGCCTCTGGGGTTCTTTCTGCCCTTCTCTACAAAGGCAGAAGCTAAAAGCAATCTTCTAAAAGGCTTGATGCTCACAGAAATGCGGGGTTTGGGGTAGCGGAGCACTGAGGCAACAGAGCTTTACTGGCATGGGTGGCCGTAGGCAGCCAGGCTCCCCCTGGCTCCCGGGGGGTTGGGGGCAGTCCCTGGTGCCCCGGGGCCGCTGTGGCAAGCGCAGTCGAAGCCTGACGCTGCCCCTCGGGGCCAGGTGACCTCGGGTGGAGCTGGGTGTCACCCGTCCTTCCCAGACTGGAAGGAGCTGAAAGTCACCCTGGGATAAACATGACTGAAAGGGACGCGATGCCACTGGGAGCCCAGGGGACCGGTGTCACCGCTGGGTGACAGCTCGGAGGCGCTGGCCGGGGCTGGGAGCCCCTGGGAAGCTTCTCCTTGCTGGGTCCTTTTCCCTCTGGCTCCCATCCCACCTCCCCTTGACCTCCCTTTTGCCCTGCCTGCTCGCTTCCCTAGGATCAGATTTTCCACTTCGTACCAGACTGGCAACGCTTGTTTTAACAGCTTAAGTAGTAATTGCCGGGGCTGGGAGGGGGCAGGGGGGAAATGAGATAGTGTCTGCAGCCTGGAAAGCCCTGGAGCTAAGGTGAAAGCCTGGTCAGGGAAGAGTCACCGAGACTTTTTTTTTTTTTTCTTTTTTTTTCTGCTTTTCACCATTTATAAAACAGAGGGAGCTTCTGTACTTTCCTGACCCCCTGGCTGGAGCGAGCCGGTGAGGGGAAAAAGCCTGGGTCGGGGAGGAGTCCCCGGGTTTTTTTTTTTTTTCTTTTTTTTTCTGCTTTTCAGGGGGGTTCTGGAAGTTGCTGCCTCTCGCCAGCAGAGCCGAAACAAAGGCTGTGTGTGGTTTCAGGTGGGGTAGGGCCAGCCGGAGCCCATTACGCCGGAGCAGGGGGGGCTGCCCTTGCTGCAGCTGTCCCCCCTCGGGACGAGCAGGGCGAGAAACCACTGCCCGGCCCGGGGGTCGGGGGCAAGGCTGGACGGAGCCTTCAGGGTCCCTGGTCCTCGGAGAAAGGGGAGGGAGCCGGCTGCTCTGGGCTGGTTCAGGGCTTCCCCACTTGGGTGCCTTGATCCGAACCCACCCTTCCCCATGTGTGGGCCTCGTGGGGTTGGTCCCACTGTCCCCTGCGGCGTTGTCCCACGCGGGCTGTGAAGAATCGGTGACCTCCATCCGACTGCACCCAAGGGGCTTGAAAACGAGGATGTGCCCACCCATAGGTGCGTTGGTGGGGCGGGAGCCCTCCCTGGGTGCAGGGTGTTACTGAAGTGGGGGACATGGTGCTGTGCCCTTCCTGCTGGGACGGGGTGCTGAGCCGCTTCCCACGCTCCCTTGCCTTGCAGGGAGAGGATGAGCCATAAAACTCGCATCCGCGTCTGGGATCTTCAAAGGTGACCCCAAAAAATCCCCATTTTGGGGAATAGCAGGTGCTTGGAGGTGAAGTTTGGGAGAGATTGAAGCTACGGCTGCTCTAAGGTGGCGAAAGTATCGTGGGCTTGGTCCGGGGGGGGGACAGTCTCTTTCT